GTTTGCATGCACTCTTTTTTGATCCAACTTTAGATATCCACACTAAATTTCTGCAGATAAGTCAGTTTGATCTGTATACAAAATCAGCTATCAATTTGTATGTACAAATGCCTTTTTTGTACACAAGTTACAGGGCACCTGTGTTACTACCTTGTGAATCTCACTGCCTGGCCAGTTCAGATGGTTTTACAGTCACAAACACACACCGGGCTGTTTATCTTATACCAAGATGTGTATTTATTGCCCTCTTATATAGCAATACTGTGCAATACAGGCTTACAACAAAGGTCAGCTTTTCTGAAGCCCTCCCCAGCCCACACTCACCTTCTGAGCTCCTTTTGAGCTGCCCTTGTTTCCTCCCCTTATATTCTCCTCCCAATTACCTTGTTAGCCCAATGATTGTCACCCAGGTGCTCACCACCCCCCACCAAAAAGTGTATAATTGCCTTCAGCTGGGTCTGCAGCCTTCTCCAGGCTGCAGCAATGTCAGTGATCAGGGTACTGCTGATAGCACTCTGTCACAAGTCACTTTTTGCACAGACAAAACTTTCACATATAATTGTATGTCAAAATATATGCATGCAAAATTACACCCATAGTTCTAGAGCAGTGGATACAGCCCTTTTGAAAAAGTAGCTCAACATATGAAGTACCTATTGTTTTGAGTCCAGAGCCAGCAAACTTTGCTCATATGACTAGTCCTATTGACTTCAGTAGTAGTAAAGGAGTTTAGAAAAGCAACAAAAGCATACAAAACAATTTTACCAAATTTTTACTTACAGTGGTTATTTCTTAGCACAAAAGTAATATGAAAGACCTGCTTGCAAATTTTTAATGAACACATAGATTAACATAATTTGTTGGGGAATAGTTAACATGGTTTTTGTAAAGGGAAATCATGCCTCACCAATCTACTAGAATTCTTTGAGGGGGTCAGCAAGCATGTGGACAAGGGGGATCCAGTGGATATAGTGTATTTAGATTTTCAGAAAGCCTTTAACAAGTACCCTCAACGAAGGCTCTTAAGCAAAGTAAGCAGTCATGGGATAAGAGGGAAGGTTCTCTCATGGATTGGTAATTGGTTAAAAGATAGGAAACAAAGGGTAGGAATAAATGGTCAGTTTTCAGAATGGAGAGAGATAAATAGTGGTGTCCCCCAGGGGGTCTGTACTGGGTCCAGTCCTAGTTAACATATTTATAAATGATCTGGAAAAAGGGGTAAACAGTAAGGTGACAAAATTTGCAGATGATACAAAACTACTCAAGATAGTTAAGTCCCAGGCAGACTGCGAAGAGCTACAAAAGAATCTCAGAAAACTGGGTGACTGGGCAACAAAATGGCAGATGAAATTCAATGTTGATAAATGCAGAGTAATGCACAGTAGAAAACAATCCCAACTATACATATAAAATGATGAGGTCTAAATTAGCTGTTACCACTCAAAAAAGAGATTTTTGGGAGTCATTATGGATAGTTTTCTGAAAACATCCATTCAATGTGCAGTGGCAGTGAAAAAAGTGAACAGAATGTTGGAAATCATTAAGAAAGGGATAAATAATAAGACATAAAATATCATATTGCCTCTATATAAATCCATGGTACATCCACATCTTGAATACTGCGTGCAGATGTGGTCACCCCATCTCAAAAAAGATATATTGGAATTGGAAAAGGTTCAGAAAAGGGCAACAAACATGATTAGGGGTATGGAATAGCTGCTGTATGAGGAGAGATTAATAAGACTGGGACTTTTCAGCTTGGAAAAGAGACGACTAAGGAGGGATATGATTGAGGTCTATAAAATCATGATTGGTGTGGAGAAAGTAAATAAGGAAGTGTTATTTTGTGATGTTGTGAAGGCCAAGACTATAACAGGGTTCAAAAAAGAACTAGATAAATTCATGGAGGATAGATCCAAGAATGGCTATTCGCCAGGATGGCAGGGATGGTGTCCCTAGCCTCTGTTTGCCAGAAGCTGGGAATGGGCAACAGGAGATGGATCACTTAATGATTACCTCTTCTGTTGATTCCCTCTAGGGCACCTGGCATTGGCCACTGTTGGAAAACAGGATACTGAGCTAGATAGACCTTTGGTCTGACCCAGTATGGCCGTTCTTATGTTAGAAAGATGGGGGAAATGGACAGGATATTAATGCTAATTGAGTTTCTGCAGTTAAAGTCAAAAAAGCTGTGGTATGCTTGAAAATACACTAAAATTAAACAACTTCAGCCTCTGTCATTCATCATATGTCACTGGAAATGTTGAAATTACTAACTAAACATACAGATTAAAATAAAACAGTGCATTGCGAAAACAAACTCCACACTGTGATTTTTTTGTGAAGCTGTAGCTATTTTAGTGATGAATGGGTAAAATCCTCCAAAAAGTAAATCAGTATGAAAGAAATAATTCTGCTGATGAAACTTATGCCTACCTCAGTAAAATCCCTTTATAGTCTAAAGGGTGGCCGCAAGTTTGTATAGGTTCCTATATACAAGTGGGTATGGGTTTCTTTATGTCATATGCATGTCTGTATGTGTTTCCTTATTAAGTTAAAGAAATCTGAGCTTCATTGGCTATAACCTTGGCAGAATATAATGTATTTCCTTTCCTTTAAATCTACTATTTCCAGAATCCCCTGCAACATACAGACTCCTTATATAGCTGTAATTGCTCCAACAATGAAGGGATTATGCAAGTAGCAACACTTTTTAAAGCTCTTGTAGTTTTACTAGTTGTAGTTCAACATCATGGAAGGAGGCAGCCTCTTACCCCCAGTAAAAAAAAATCTAACTTTCCTATAGTACACAGAAGAGGCAGTGAATTCATTTCTGTGATTTCATCATTGTACTTTTAACATCTGCAGTAAAAACACTGGCACAGGAAATAAGTAATAAACCAAAGAGAGCAGTTCAGAAAATCTCTCCTAATGATGGAAATTTATCAACATATTTCAGGGGGTAAAAGAAGATCTCTGCAGGGAAAAGGAAAGAACCTAAAAGAATAATATGAACCAGACTTAAAAATGGAAGTTAAAAATATTCAAGACACGAAAAGTATGAGTTAAGAAGACAGAGGTGAAAGGTACAGCTCAGAAAGATTCAGCATGTACACACACAATGTGCTGCTTGTGTTAATGAGGGGACTATATACAGCAGTTAGCATGCTGGTATTTCAGGGCAGTGAAATGTGCGATAAAATGTGCTCCAGGGATAGAGAATGTGGAAGCAAAACAAACATTGCACTTAAACCCTTTGCATAAAAGGAATTTTAATTATGACCCTACAGCATAAGTACTTAAATTCTTTAATTAATTCCTGGAAAAATAATGGTACATGCATTTTTTTTACATTTAAACACATTATATATGATTCATATTCCAAAACACAAAGACAAGTTGGGGGGAGGGGGTCAGGGAAGATGACAGCCCCACTATCTCCCCTCTCCAGTGACCTGATGAAAGAGCCCTCCAAAAGTACTGTGCCTGAGATCAGAGGTGGGAGAGGTGCCCAGCATCCCTAGCACTGGTAGCTCATTTTGATATATTTTTTTAAACAACTCATTAGCAGACCATGGGTCTGAGTAGGTAAGGCTTTAGTAATTCTCATGAAGTATTTGGCCCTCACAAGGTGGTGGAAGGATAAGGTATGAAGTTGCTAGAATGGGCATCACAGACACTCGTATTACAGTAATACATGCACTATATAAATATATCTATATTTTCAAATGGTATGGTGTAACATTTGTACTGGAGTGACTATACTAATGTCTGTTTAATCTCTGAGCATGCCCAGATGTCTCCAGAAGCCTGAACAGATTCAGATTGAGCTGTGTTCATGCTTTTTTTTTTAAAAAGTGCTGTGCCTTCTCTCCTGCCAAATAAGCCTCCTGAGTCTCTACTCAACATTGCGTGGTCAGATTTAAAAAGAAAGAGAATTTTCTGAAATGACACTGGCCTACTTTAGAATGATGTGGTACATTCACGTCTCCATACTGTGGCAATTGTGCCCCAGTAGTAACTATAAGAAATTCCAACAGACACAGCAGTAAGTCTTACATGTTATATTGTTTGATTTTTTGAAAATGAACACTAGTAACCAATGCCCAAAATGTAGGTTTTAGTATTGCCACTATTTAAAAACAAGGTTTAGTATTCAATTTAAATGTTTTAATTCAATTTAACAAGTATAATTGAAAACCGATTTTTGTTTGGCTTTAAGCATTCACCTATATTTTTTTGTAATCTAAGCATTTCATCATTGCGCATAAGAACCAGGAAGCAAAACTCACTAGCAATGCACATTAAAAAAATCTAGTTTATTTTTATTGCACAAAAAGTGAAATACAAAAAGTAAACACAGAATGGGGAAATATTTCTAACATTTTTGAGTTCTCATGCTATTTATTATTTTAAGGATATGACTTTATGCTCTCCCTTTAAACTATATATTAAAAGGTTATAAAGGCTGTAATATGACTATATTTATAAGCCACATAATGTAGGGATTCACAGAATTTAAATTAGAGATTAGCTCTGCATGTCTTTCATTTAAACTTTTGCTGTTCATAATTTGTGAGTGGGTGAGGGAGCATTAATGACAATACTTTGTTCTCAGAGCTCCTGATAACTATGGTGAACTCTTTTTACTCCCATTCTATATTTGGGGAAATTGAGGCATATAGAGACCAAGTGATTTTTTTCCTCTCCAAGCTTAGTGGAGGCTAATGGCAGAATTAGGAACAGAAGAGAGGTCTTCTAGTTCCCCTACTAATCATTGGACAGTTTCCCTCACAGTTTATGTGACTATAAGAAGCTGAATTTTGGATTTTTAATCACAACTTTTTGATATTGGGAACTCAAGAAAAAATTAAACTTTGAATGAAGGCTCCCATATTTCTCCTTTTCTTCTATGTCAAAACAGGGAAATATATAATTGACCACTGCACATTTTTACCTTTTTTTCCCCTACCAACACAGATACCAAATTCATTTTTTCATGAAAGGAAAGATGTTTTAAGAAATAACATTTGTGAAATGCACATATAAAATCTTACATTACAACTTCAACCTTACATGCAGAAATTCAAACATGATCTATTTGGTGCATCCTACCACTCCCCTCCCGTCCCACCCCATTGCTTCCTTATTTCACAGGGTCAACACATTTTATATTATGTTCCAATTCTTGAGCAAATTTGGTTTTAACCATAGTATGGGTCAGGTGCTGCTCTCTTCAAAAATATGACTCAACCACACGGAAAAACTATTCCAGTTCTCAAAAGAAGATATTCTAATTACATGCAAGAAGTACCAAATTTGTAATCTTTGTATCATATATATGTATATCTGCTGTGATCCAAAAGTCCATATGTTATGTTAAATATTAGGAATAAAGGGGGAAAAGTAATGAGGACAAAATGCTTGGGACATTGAACTTTGAGTTGTTGCAGAGGAGGTTTGTTATTTCACTTGCTATTTCACTACTCAATTACATTTGCGTTTTCTGTAAACATAACAGCTCATCCAGCCAACATTACCAAAAAAAACCCCCTGAATAGAGAATGATGGGCAGAAAATTTTGAAACAGATAGTGTTATCTTTAGAGTGGGAAGAATAATGAAAAAAAATCCATAGATATTTTAACAAAATAAAATTTGTTGAATTAGTCATTCAGCTCAAGATTAGCATTTTATTCAGCACTGAATTCAGAATTTGTTTATTTATTCATTAGTTTTTAAGAACTCTTCTGAAGTCTGTATGAGATACAGGCAAAGCAAGCTATTGTTCTATTACAGTTTAATTACTTGAAACTGTATATACACAAAGGCAGATATGTGAAAGCTAGAGCATCACCCTTTACTCCTTTCTATGTAGACACTAGCAAACATTGGTCTCTGGCTTATTAGGATCATAAATATGTGTGTGCCAATCTTTCATTGTTCAGCTTCTAAAGAAAAGCCCTTATGACAATGTTGTATGACGGTACTGGGTACACATTACTTCAACCTTTCTAGTAATTGTAATCTAGTAATTGTGTTAATTTGTCAATTTCTGAAGCTCAGACATCAGCTGAATTGAAAATACGGAGACACTCATGACAGTTTTGTGTTGTTTCTGCCTGCTGTCATTCCTACTGAATTTCAGGCTTCTTGTCAATTTCTGGTGCTGAGTGCAGTGATGCTGCCATGTAGTGAGAAACTGACAAAGAGCAGGATGCTATCAGCTACACAAAACAAAACGAGACAGGTTCAGCAGCAAGGCGAAGCCTCTCCCTTTAGGTATGAATTTTACATTATGTTCTTAGTAGGATGTTTCAGAGTCCACCCGCTGTCCTAGTCAGTCACATCAATTCTGATTTCAGAGGAACTCATGCAAGATGCTGGTACTAGACATAAATGACACAGAGGCATGAAAGCAGGTCTTAAAGTAGGTGCAGTTTTCACAATCTTGGGTTAGTGTAAGGGCCCAATTTGAAGTTTGCAGGAGGCCCCACATGACCTTAAACTGGCCTTGCCCATCCATGCTTTTTTGACTGTGGGCTATTTATGGGTTCCTTGAAGGGAGTGGTGTTAAGGAACTGACATGAAGGAAAACTGAAGAAAGCTGATGAAAGGAGTATTGGACCTGGAGCCACCTTCAATTAGAGCACCATGTGGTGACGAGAACTGATCCTCATCTGCATAGCAGGGTGGATAAACTGTAGGTGATGGGATTATATTTTCTTCAGTAACTTCATTTCTCCATAAGAAAAGCTTTTGTTTTATCTTAACATGTATCTCTTTATCTTAACATGCGATGTTATCAAGAGCACAGACAACTGAATTCTACTTTCCCCATTGAAAACTGGATGGATGATCTGAATGGGGGCAGTGCTCTGGCTTCTACTAACAGGGTGGGCTGTCAGAGTCTCTGAGTTGGTGATGGCTGTGAGCAGCATCTTCAGATGTACATTTACAATGGGGGAAATCTTTTGCAGGAGGAACAAGGAGGGCCCCCTACACAACTAAAGGGCAAGGTCTTTCTATGTATTTTACAGTGTCAGGATAGCATCCCTTTCTTTATGACAGGGAAGGTACTTAATATAAACCCTTTATCTCAGGCAGTTTATTCTGAAAACAGGGACTTTTGAGCCAAGGAAAGGCCATAAGAACTGCTGGGCTCCTTGCACTGCAATCTTAAGGCCTAATTCTATATGGTGCTTAACATCCTTGCATGAAAAAAAGAGCGCTTGAAGCACCATTCAGAACATATTCCTTACCTCTCAAGATCTGGCAGGAAGGGCAGCATATTGCTAGTGTCTGTTTTGGGTTTTTTTATTACAAACAAAATTATTTAGCCACCTTTAAAAATTTGGAAATGCATAGAAGTCAGGTTCCCACAGCAATGACCCTGAGTACATATTTCAAGGCAAAATTTTAAAAGCATCTGCAGTCATGCAAAATACCATATATGGATAGGGGGCTGAGTTATGGCTACTGAAGGAATTGCAACTTTGAATTTCTTGATTTTTGTGAATTTAAGAATAATATTTTGCACTTAGGAAGAAGCACTTCATTCAAGGAGCATAAACTTCCTCATAAGCATTACATGAATAAGCTTCACAACACTCCTTCGAGGTAGGTACCACAAGTACATAGTAATATTCCTATTTGGCAGATGTGGGAGGTAAAGTGAATTTCATACTTGAGTGACTAAATATGACCATGGGCATCAAGATTTAGTGTCTACAAGTGTCTACAAATCAGAGGCTAAGGCCAGAATTTTCATAAGATACTAATGATTTTGGGTACCTAACTTGATAGAAGATAAAGATTCTCACAGGGCAGGTAATCAGCATTTTCTGAAATATCAAAACCCTTTAAATTGCCTCAGATTGAGAATCCAAAAATTAAGGACCCAAAATCATAAGTGTTTTCTGAAAGTCTTGGTCTATGTCTCTAAATGTGAATTTAAGCTCCTAAATCAATGATGGAGTATCCTAACTCTTGTTCTAACAGTTAGACAGCATTCCCTCCCTTTTTATTTAAGCTCTCAGTTTTAATGTTGCATTTTATATATATTGTTTTGATTTCATTTAGTTTTAGTCCTCCCATTGGAAAAGTTCATGTTCAACTTTGTCTGCTACTAAGTTCATTTTGCAATCCCGAAGGGCTTTTATTAAGTCAGCAACCTTAGCTTCCTTTCCCCTCCATTTCTGCCACTCTCGAAGTGACTGCATCAATTGTTCTTGCAAGTTATAAGGATTGGCTGTTAGAATTCTGTCAATTTTTGTATCAGAAATTCCTAATCTTCGAACTAGCATTTTCCAGTTCTTCCCAACATTGTCACATATAACTTCAAAAGCTACATTCTGTTGACCTGAAAAATAAACAAAATGACAAAATCCAGTTTATGCCAAATGAGTGATTTACAAAGAGACATTTACAATGTGCATTTCTCTATTAATTCTTACTGTATAGGTTTGTCCACGTACATATTAAGGACCACATTGTCGCAGTAAAGCCACTGGATGTGCTGAGGACAGTGTAGAAACACCTCAGACCTGATGGAGTTTTCAGAGGCCTTGTCTCACACAGTGACAAAACTTGTCCATGAGTGCCAGGGCAGCGCAGCTCCCCTATCCAAAAAGCTGGTTGCAGCATGTACTCCCTCACCCTCCTGCATGTGGCCAGTGCAGAAACTAGTATGTAGAATTCCATGTGGCAGTCTAGAGCCAGAAATAGTGCTAGTTTGGAAGTCCTTGTTAAGGGTGAGTGAGACTCAAATAATGCATAGTCCATGTACTGGCCTTTAGCAGAGGGGTAAATTTCATCACAGAACTATTTCCGACTATTTGAAACATTATTCGCTTTTTTTTTTAAAGAGCGAGGCAGACCTCTGCTCCAAAGTGTTCCTATGCAATAGTGTTAGGGGTTAGACCTAAAGATTTCCACATCTAGCTTACTAAAAAAAAAAAATTATCAGTGTTTGCCACGGTGTTAGTTTGCAAAATAAAAATAAGAAGATGAGTCCACTTACATTTTTCTTTCTCATCTAGATGGTCGACAACATCGCCTTGTCCACCTTCTATGAACTCCTGTAGTTGCATTATCAGATCTTCTCTTTTAATGGTTTTGATCATGAGCTGGAGAAAATCTACCTTCTCTCTTGCAATCTCCCGCTGTTCAAGGAGGATGGTGAAGAGATCATTGCCAGTTTTGACAGACTCAAGCTTCCTTTTGCCAATTTTGCTCAGGCACAGAAATTTAAGGGCAGAGAGCTCACTGTCAGATAAGCTCATGGAAAATGAATGCAGAAGAGACAAAAATGGGTCCATTTTGGTAAGCCCTGTGAAAGAATATCAAGAAAAAAATGTTTTGTGTGTAAGAAAACATACAGGAAGTCTCACAAGTTGTTTGCTTTCTACATGCCTAGGAAACACCTTTCATTTGAAGATAAAACTTTCTTTTATTAAATATACACGTTCTTAAAAACAAAAATAAAGCTCTTTGGCATGATTACCTTCCTGGAAGGCAATTAACATTAGCTATTTCTCTACAAACATTTCTTACTTTCACTTTCACAATGCACTGTCATTATCAGTAACTAAAATCTTACACTTTCCAAAGTTTAGAACAAACTTCAATATACTTTCTCTTGGAAATCGAATTGCTGTTATGAACAATATGTAAAGATATGTTTCATTTCAGAGGAGTTGCTACTTACTTCCTGGTTTAATCTATGTTGCCCTGAAAGCCTAGCTGCGATGAAGAAAAACTTCACTGTGCCGAAGGCAGCTTTCCTTTTACACAGAGATCTGACTGTCACCGGAAATCACATGAATGAGTGATGCAAACATTTCAGCCTCAGGGAGTGCTCTATTTTCCAGTGAACAGTAGATGGCAATACCATACAACTATCTATCCTACCATATATAAACACTCATACCCTGAATACTGGTGCCATGTACACACATACTACTGAAAAACTACATCAAAATCTGTAGTCTAAAGATCAACAGAAGACCTGTCCAAAATGGTCCTAAAATATTATGAAAAAGCAAAGCAATTCTATTGTATGCTAAGTAAAACATCACTGTTAAGGATTGTGTATATATTTAAATCAAATCCTTCCCCTTAAGAATTGTAACATCAAGAGTAAAAACTGATGTTCAAAAATACAAAAAATAGGAAAGAATGTGAAAGTATTCAGAAGTTTTACTCTGAATTATTCTGGCAGCTGCATAAAGGTGTATGTCACACTAAAAAAGTGGGATAAATTTATGCCAGGTGTATTCCCTTTAAGTCAGTGGATTTATACTAAGAATTGAGTTAGTGTATTCTTCTTACTAAACCAATACTAAGCCCTAATCATAAGAGAATCACAAGCCTATTTTCACACCTTGCTCAGTTCTCAGTACCTAAACTGAGATTGAACTATGACATCATGTTTAAACCGGACCCGTGGAAGTGTACTTGGATTTTTCAGTGTAGGGGTAGATAAATTAGGATGGGGCAATTATGGAGTAAATCAGGGTGCTCACTGTTAAGTACACTGTGCCTATTCCATATAGATTCCTGGAGAGATTAGCATTTAGGATATTAATAGCACAGAAAAGTAGGTGACCAAGATCAGAATAGATATGAGGGCAGGTTAAACCTTATTTGAAAACTACCCCCATAGTGAGGAATGGATAAAGTTAACAGTCATTTTATGTTATATTATACAAAATGTATGTGTTTGGTGCAAACATTCAGTTCACCACCTGCCTCCTGCTGCAGGAAAAAGCAGGCCTAGCTGCTTGGCTGGTTATCTGTGCATAGTTTCCTGCAACCCTGTTTTACTGCTCCCCCTATATTTCCCCTTGTTGTTTTTCTCCTCTCATCCCTCTGTAAATAAATATTTCTCTTTCTTCCTCACTGTCCCCCTCCCCCGTAGGAAAAAGATTTAAAGGGGCCATGCTCTCTAAACTCCAAAGGGGTTACAAATGGTAAGTGTTTAAATAAGCCAGGGGTTCTAGGCCCCCATTTGCTGAAGGATTTTATGGCTTCTGGTTAAGTTTAGCATTTACATAGTGCTTTACAATCTATCAATCAGCACTTAAATCTGAAATGCCTACTTATTATTTTCTCTTTACAAGAGGGGAATGAATCACAGCAGTTAAGTGGTAAAGTGAGTTGATAAAGGCCACAAAAGGACCCAGTGTCACAGCCAGGGTCAGAACATAGGAGTCTTTTATTCCTTGTCCCTTATGCTATTAAGATGCTTCCCCTTGTGGCCAAAAGTCAATGGCTGCTCAATGGAGGAGTCAACTCCAGCTGCAAGTATCTCTGGGAGTAGCAGCAGCTGCCTGAGTTATACTGCCATCCACAGCAACAAATTGATATCAGGTTCTTCTAAAAGCTAAGGGACCTATTATCATGAATTTCACTGACCTCAAAGGTGAAGCCTAGAATTATGAATACCTCATGATTATTAAGAAAATCAGACAAATTTTCAAACCCAGCAATCAATATTTTTAAACCTATTTTTATACAGAGAAAGCTTTTTAGTTTTAAGAAAAGCTCCCAGCATAAGTTTAGCCCTGACATTGCTAAACTCTGGGGAACTTGCGATTATGGGCTTTACAGGGACCAACCCCTGGACTTTTCTCATAACTTTGTAACCCAACCTGAACTTCTCCCCTGTACTCTGGTGTGTGTGTTGGAGGGGGAGCTCTCTCACTCTCTTCCCCAGATCACACGCATTATTAATTATTTACAGCATAGCCTTAAGTTTACTAGGCACTGTACATACACAGAAGGTACAGTCCCTGCCCCAAAGAGTTTTCAATCTCACCTACATAAATTCAAAGGTTATTGTCTGTATCTCCCACATCTCCATCCTCACACTCCAGTTTTAAGGAGGCCAAAAGCCATTTTCGACAACTTAACTTTCTGGCAAAAATAGTAAAAAATCCCAAAAGAACAAACCACCCCCAAACAAATATTCCCTTTACATTTTATCATCCCTATGGTACATGTGAAACCTTCTCTGACCCTACCTCCAACTAATCACAAAAATCAGGATTAATACTGGTGTCTTTACCAGCCTCCTCTCTTCCTCTTTGATCCAGTAGTGGGTGGATTTCCTATCAGGCAGGTGTTATAAGCTGCCTAATGTATATGCAGCACCACTGCCCTCCACTGGATGGAATATCAGACCTGCTTAAAGGACTGGTTCTGTGGGAGCCCCAAATGCTGCAGGAAGGGGAGAATTACCAGCAGCAGTGTCATATGGAGAGGATATGCTAATACTGGAGAGAATTATTAACACTGATAATGTGGGACATGATAGAACTCACTCCAGGCACTTACGTTCCCTGTTTTCTAAGAGATAGAGTAGGTCTAGGTATTTTCTTTCTTGTGTCCTGATGATGCCTTTAAACAAAGGCATGAGACACCAGAGTTACTGTGGGCTGGTGTAGTGAGGTCAAGCGGGAAAGATCCATTCACATCACAACAATTTGAAATACTCAGATTCAGAATGTAAGGAGTTATTGGGCATAAAGCCAAGTAAACAATATAAAGTCTGATTGTATAGAATGAGGCATTTTAGTGTACATTTTTATTCTGCAATAAAATATGAATCTATCAAACAGTGCTCCAGTGAAACAAGAAAATACATGGAACTCAGTTCAGGCTGAGTCTATGCAAAGGAACTCTAAATTACAATAATTTACACCTTTTTGGTAGCTCCCTCAGCATGTAGATTAAACCATTTTAAACTCAGATTATTTTAGACACCCATAAGGGCCAGATTCAGAGCTGATATGTGAAGTGATGTAATTGCAGTTCAGTATGAAAATATGAGTGTAAGGGAGTCTAATTGGTATCACTGACACACTGAGGGGCTTAAAGATATAACTCAACTCTGTTTAATTCCCTTAGCCTCACTTCTGAAATTTGGCACAATGGAGTTGCACCCATTTTTACCAAGCCTGAATTTGGTCTGTTAAGGCTAGTCTGATACATGCACAGTTGAAAAACCCAAGCAGCTTGCTTTCCTTTAGCCTATTGCCTCTAAAGCCAATTCACAGGATTGACTGAAGGAGATGTCTGCCAATGGGCAACAAATTGTAATCTTTTCAATGTGCAGAATAAGCTCAGTGGTTTGAACATTGGCCTGCTAACCCCAGGGTTGTGAGTTCAATCCTTGAGGGGGCCACTTAGGGATCTGGGGTAAAATCAGTACTTAGTCCTGCTAGTGAAGGCAGGGGGCTGGACTCAATGACCTTTTAGGGTTCCTTCCAGTTCTATGCGATAGGTATATCTCCATATATTAAAAACTACCATATGTATTTGACAGCTCAGATTTCAGTGACAGTTTTCCAGATATTTAGATCTGAGAGTGATCCTGTCACAAAATCAAATGATATCTAGATTTCATGGGCAATATCTTACAAGATCAGGCAGAGGGAGCTCAAAGCTTTATAGAACATTAAACAGATCTGTGCTTCAGAGTTCTGAGAATAGCATTAGTAAGAACTCCAACTCTTTAGAGTTCTATAGGGTGCCAGTCTCCAAGGTATGTAGGCATCCACTGAAGAATGCAAAATGTTTTCTGTAAAGGATTTTGCTCTCTGCCCTATGAGTTGGCTTCAGTTACTTTGTGCATGTAAATGTGGTGTAGATGGTACAGCTTAGATGTCTATTGAGAACCACATAATTTGTTTGCTTTAAAAGCGGTAAACCAAGTTGTGTGTATTGTACATTAATGATATTTAAGTAACATATATAGCACTGTGTTTGAAATCCCCTGAGCAACAACAGTTTTGCTAAGTGGGTTTGTGTTACACTTTTGGAAAGTGCTTTGCGTAGGCCAGCTTTGGCGTATCTGGCTGGGTTTGCCCCATTCTACAGTCTGGTCCCCTGCATACTTCTTTCTGTATTCTAATAACTGGGATCACACAATGCTTCCTGTGGGACCAATGGTTTACCTACTCTAATCTAATGTAGGTATCAGTGCTTATTGCCATCATATTGGAGCTGCTGTATCCAGCTGCAATTACAGTGCTTTCTCTATTACTCTCAAGCAGTGCCCTCTGGGTCTGAGGTCAGTGCGTCTATATAAACTGGCCAAACAGCCTCATAAACAATGTCTTCCACTCCTCTCCTCAATGACATGCCTGTGGTAAGCCTGGAAAATAAGGGATCTGATTTCTTTATCAGACCACTCTCTCTCATTTAAAAGAGATTGCTTTCCCTTCCCATGACTGGGAACCCTGGGTACAAAGTATATAATATATATTGCAGTATCACTTTGTATATTTCATCTCTTGCCTTGTTTCTGAGCTACAAGTCTGTCAGTTCATATTTATTTTGCTTGCCTTTGATATGATGAAAGTCTAAATCAATTTGATACTTTAGCATGCTCCCTCATATACCTGAGTAGCTGAGGTAAGAGGGCATGGTGCTCACTGGATCGGTAGTAGCTCATGACTGAGATTGTACAATTAGAGGAGAGCTCAGGAACATGTCTTTAAAAGAGCTGCTACCACATATATGACCTGACTACCCGGATCAAAATTGGTGCCCCAGCTGCAGGGTGAGGAGAAAGCCAACAGGTTGCTTCAGAGGTAGAAACTGGATTCAAACCGGATGGGACTTCAGAAAGTTTGCCTCCCTCCTGCTGTTGCTTTACAGGTGGATAAGTGGCTTTTGTAAGATTGGCTGGGCTGACTGTCATAAGAGTGGGAAAACTGGCAAGGGCCATGTGGTTTTTATCTTGGCAAATAGAAAGAAGAAAGGGGGCATCCAAAATGGTGTGATATTGAAATTAATTGCATTCCAGCCAGGTG